CCCACCCGTCGGCCCCTCAGCTGCTCTGCCTTCGGCTTCCCCGATTCGGCCGCTGGTCAGTTTTAGCAGCGGCTGAATAGGGGAAGCTGGAGGCAGAGCAGCTCCAATGGTCCGGCTGCGGAGCACTTCCGGGTTCCTGATGGTGCCGGACCAATGGAGTTTTACTGTATATCCACCAAATGTGGGATGCAGCTTCCTCTCCTCATAACTTAAAGCAAGGTCAGGGTTGGTTGTGCCAGAAGCCCCAGGAAAAGGAACAATTTTCCATAACATGTAAAAGGAGGTGCTGCTATTTGGAGGAACATGATATGAAAGTGGTCATTGGGGGCAGCAAACCCGAAGGAAAGCTATCCTGCAACGTGTCCACTGAGGGCAGCCTTCCTATCAAGGAAATGTCCAGCAGGGCTGGGGCTGCACCATCTTGCCTGCCAGCACACTGTTAAGTAGCCCCCCCCAACCCCAAACCATTTCCCCGCAACTTGACTACAGTGCCAAAAAGGGAGAGTGGGGGAAAGGCCGCTGGCAGCTGGGGGAATGGGGAAAGAACATCCATCTCCTACATGCACACAGACCCCTAACCCACATCCCCAAGGGCCTGCCCTGAAGGACACAGGCAACGCTTGGTAAGTATGCTAGCTAAGCACTGAAAAGATTATGGTGCCCCCCCATATCTAATTCAAAATAAAAACAATGCTATACCGTAAAATCTCATTTTTTGTGGTGCCCCTGCTTTGCTGGTGCCCTAAGCACGTGCTTAGTCTGCCTACTGGGTAATCCAGCCCTGGCTGCTAGGGAGAGCAGAAGGGAGAGAAAAGGCCCATGCTGGATGGGAACCCTCTCCCTGTCCCTCCTCAACCCCCAATCCTCACTCTCATCACCCCTGCCTTCTATACCCTCCCATATCCCCAAGGTCCTGCCCTGAGTCCTGAACACACCCTACACTGCCAGCCACCTGCCCTGAAGAACCCGGGTAACACCAGGTAGATCTGTTAGTAGATAATAAAATCCTCTGTAAATGTCTTTTAATATCTATATTGAATTATTTCTATTTACTATTTATTGAAAGGTTAAAAACAATAAACATGGATTTTACTTTAATAACCGAGACAAAGTCAATTAATGGTTGTGAGTTTTGGCTCATGTAACCACATTTACAGAAATAAATCCTCAGTAACAAGACACACTTTGCAGTTATCCGGCTACAATCCCTTTTTAAATTCGGAGAGAACATCACTATAAGTCTTGCCTCTTATTTTTATTTGCAGCAGTATTTACAACGGTGAGATCATCAAGGTCTTTTCTTCTGTGGAACAACAAAAATAGAGTGGTGTTAAAATATTCTGCTTGATTATAAAATTAGACATAAGTAGGATTTCTTTTAAAAAGATAAAGAAATTCATGCATATGAAAAAAAACAACAACCGTGAAGTGGGAGGTTGAAACTACCAACCCTGAAAATACAGGCACTGCACAAGTTTAAGCATCTACAGGGTCCAGTGGGAGTTCTGTGGATCACAATGGAGCTTAAAATTAGAATGTAATTGTAACTCACACACATAGCGTGGTTCACTGTCCCATGTAGTGGCACTTAGACCACTTACAGTGAGAAATAAGAACAAGTGAGCTCTGTAGCATAAGCAGAGAGTTAGCTGACTTTGTAGTTCAAGCTGTAGCAACTCCTGCATTAGGCTCCAGAGATCCCAAGTTCAAAACTGCCTGGTGCCAGTTACATAATCTGTTCAAAACTGCCTGGTGGCAGTTACATAATCACTTATGTACCATTGCAGATCCAGGCCTCAGTGACTTTCAGGGTTTGATCCAACATAAAAGCTAAATTTTGCTTTAAATTAATATTTGGGCTGGTTATAGTAGCATCATGCCCATATTGCAAGGCTGGGGGGGGGGGAAGGAGTAAAATAGTGGGATTACATCATAACTACAAACAGCCTCATCCTTGTAATTGTGAGCAGAATGTGGGTCCTCGCGTGTAGAGATCATTGCATAGCTCCTATTAGCAAAGTAGCATAGCAGTTTCCTGCCAGCTCAGTCCATAAAACTGTTCATAGACCACAAGAACCTTGGTCTGAACTGCACTCTAGTGATACTGAGTTCTCACTGAGTCTGTCCCTTTAGAATGTATCTAGCAAACACAGCTATTCTGGGGGTTCTTCACAATTTTATTTAATCCCCTACAAAATATATCTGAAGTTCTGTAGATAGATCTACAGGACAGTGATGAACTCCGAAGCATTTATAAATGTGCATGGATAGTGCCAAGGATTCACAAAGAAAAACCCTGGACTGGGGTGTTGGAACAATTTGTATAAAGGGGGGTGTTCAGAGCCACTGAAGCAAACTGCTAATCTTGTATATAATGGAAACCACTTCAAGTCAGGGATGTGGCAGCACTCCCTGCACTTCTTGCTCTAGCACCTGGGTGTTGACTGATTAGTTAATAGTATGTAAATGCTATTTCATCATTGCATTATTTTCATTCTAATGTTGCCCTGTACTTAAGAACTTCATGTATTTTAATATTAGCCTTTTTTCAAATGTCTATACTTATACACCCTCAACTACAAAAAATAACGGAGCTGCTTACAAGACTTACCCCTTGTCATTTGTGTTAGATGTGGGATTTTCTTTGAGATTATCAAGATCTTGGCTCCTTTAAAGATAAAGCAAAACAGAGCACGTCACAGTCAGGACATACAACCATCCATGACTTTAAGCAAGTCCTTAGTTTTAGCTAAAAGTGGTTATTGAGACATTTTTCAAGAATGATGGAGTTAAATTGATGGCAAAGTTGAAAGCCTACATTGCTTTATTAATTCAATTATATGTAACCAGTAAATATATATCCTTTTAGGTATTTCCACTTGAACTGAAAAACACCTAGTTATGTTTTATATAGAACCAACTACACCTAACACATGAGTCAAAGGGGTAAGTTCCTTCTTAGCACTCAATCATAATAAAAAAATACTTTAAAAATTTTAAAAAATTGCATGCCTCTAGCCAGCAATGAACTTTAAAACATAAGACCACTGAAACACAAAATCAACAGAATATTCCTATGATGTGTTCAAGAACGAGTCCCTGCTGAAAAGAAACAAGTCATATGCTAGAAGAAATTAATCACTGGGGAAAAAAATGTTCCCTTGTGTTGTAGACAAGTCAGCCCTCTGGACCACTGGGATCCTGATTTAATTCTCGCAGTGTTGGTGCCACCATCTAGCCAGGTTGCCAATTCCTGGTTTTATCTGCATCTCTTGGTGTGTTTCTGGAGTCATGAGATTAAACAAGACTCTCAGTTTGACCCTTAAAAACAGAGTATTAGGTGGTTTGTTTAAGAAAAAAGCATTCAAGAATATTGTGTAGGGGAAAAGAGGGAATAGGATTTGTTGGACTATTATTTTCCATACAGCAGTGATTCTTAAACTGTTCTCCAGGGACAGCTTGCTGGATCACATGATTCCAAATCTCCTACTTGTTTCAAAATGCTAAGTAACATAAAAATCTAGCTAAAGCATGATTAAATACTTTTTATTACTTTTCTATGTTAATTATATTAATTGCCACGACAATGTAATCTGATCATCATTAAGAGAGGAGCCTCAGAGGGGCAGCGTCTGACAAAGTGGTTTTTACCCATGAAAGCTTATGCCCAAACAAATCTGTTAGACTTTAAGGTGCCACAGGAGTCTTTGTATTTTTTGTTTGGTTTGGTTTGGTTTGATTTTTGTAGTGAGAGGGGAGTTTGGTCTGAGCAAATCAGGAATGTTCTAGGACACAGTCGCACTATTAAGATGAAAAATACTTTCCATATTGTCTAAGTAACTTAAGATCCTAAGTCCTACTGACTTTCAAAGAGTGCTTGTCTACACCATGCTGCAGTGTGCTCGACAGAGCACTCTAACATGTTACACTCTAAGGCTACGTCTGCACTGTGCTCTTATTTCGAAATAACCTATTCCAGAAGAAATACTCCTAAATAGCTTATTTTGAAATAGCGTGTCTACACTATAGGGAAGCCTCGAAATAAGCCCAAGGCAGGCTCCCTTAATATGGACACACTACCTCGATTTAGAGCCCCAGGAAGCACTGACGAGTAATTACTTTGAATGGCTGGTGGAGGACCTATTTCAAAATAGCAGCAGTGGCACATCCACTCTACTGCTATTCTGAAATAACTGTTTCAGAAAATCCTTGTGGAATGAGGTTTACAGAAGCCAGAATAAGCTGCCCATTATTTCAAAATTATTTTGAAATAATGGGCTAGCTGTGTAGATGCTCGCAAAGTTATTTTGGAATAATGTCCGTTATCCCAAAATAACGTTGCTGTGTAGATACACCCTAACTGTCCCATTTGGAGTTTGCTGGTACAAACAAAAAGGTGCCTATTTTGCTTTGATGTGACCCCATTTGGAGCCTATATGTTTTTGAAAATTTAACTAAGGTCTTTAATATAAAAAATGTTGGGGACTCCAGACTTAAACATAGTATAGCAATTTTCAATTATTTGAATGTCGTCCCTACCTTATAGTTCTTTCTGCTGCAATTCTTCCTTCAGCAACAGTCATGCCAGGTTTTGTTGGAGATACTAGTCTATAAAAATTAAATACTATTAATACAGTTATAATGTTTTATACAAATATATAAAAGCACCCACTCCAAAGAAGTTCAATAGAACACTCCGAATACGACATCTTATCCTGTATAAATAGTAGAGTCAAATGTTAAAAAGGAACCAGTGTTTTCCTGTGAAATACTGCATAATAGGTAGGGAATTAAAATAAAAACAAAATAGATTAAAATATTAAATTAATACATAGTCAAAAAATCTGATGAACTGTGCCATGAGGCGCAGCACGAGGCCCATGAGCCTGGCACTATTTTGCAGCAGCTCCAGCTCCTTGTCGTGAGTGCTGTGGCACCCACAAGGGCAACCAGAGCACGCTGCTTCCATTTGCTGTCCCGTGACTGGGGAGGTAGCGGAGAAGTGGCATGTGAGATGCAGCCAAAGAGAGGAGCTCGTGAAAGTATGTGTTGAAGCTTGCCTGTCCAAGCAGACAGAGGAAGTGTCTGCCTTCCTGGTGCCCTCCTGGAATTTGGGGGCTCTAAATCTGAGGCAGGTTCCAATCAGTGTGGACACGCTGTTTCAAAATAATTTTAAGTCCAATGCTTCCCCATAGTGGGGACACGCTATTTCAATTTTGGTATTTCAGGCGTTATTTCAATTTTACTTATTTGAAATTATTTCCTAGTGTAGACATGCCCCCATTGAGGGTAGGAGAGATCGGGGTGCAGGGTGAGAAGGAGAATGTTTGTGGTGGAATGGCTGTCTAGGCAAAGAAAAGAAACAGATCACAAAAATGTTGTTTCTTTGGCAGGGTGAGTTAATTAGTTTTCATCTGGAAATGATGACAAAATAAACTCTCAGACAAATTCCATGTTTTAAATTAACCTTAAATTTACTCTTCTGTTTATATTTTAAATAACAACCGCCTATGCCAACTTCATTTTCCCCTTAAAAGCTATTCTTAATACACTGAGGAACAGTATTGATTGGCTTGGGGAAGAGGGTGCAATTTCATCTCTTGTCTAAAGGGACATTAACAACAAAGGTACTTCTTCAATAAAATATGACTTCTATACTGTGCGTATATATATTTCCATCCTGTCAATCATTCTAATTTATAAAATAAAGTTGAGGAATCCAGATAAATGATACAGCCTGTGATCTACACTCTGAGGTGACTCATCTGTTTAGCTATGTTGTATGGTTTCCTGGAAAAAAACATTTCCTTCTTCCATCAAATATGACCTGGTGGATATATTACATTTTACACAATGCTTCCTTAGCTCAGTCTCTTTTTATTCACCATCTGCTTGGCAGGATTAAAGTAATCAAGATTAACATCTCGCAAATTCCTCAAGTTAGGGGCAACTGGCTGGCTGAAGGAACTGGGAATAGGATATAGATTCTTAAGGTCACTAGTTCAAATACCTGTCGGGTTAATAACTACAGTTAAGATGCAATGGTTATTTAGAAAGACACAAATAATATAATGAATTCAATAGGACAACCCGCAAGGCTAACTGGATAAATTAGAATTTGCAAAACCAGATCCAAAGACTGTCTGCAGTGACATTTTTCTTAAAATTCCTACAGTTGCCTGACTAGCCTACACCTATTGTAGCAACTTGTGTAAAGCATCTGCCAGCATTTACGGCACATCTAAGCTCTCTTGGAATAGGTCTGGCACCTTAGTGCTCTCGCCATTTCTACTACCAGTGTAGCTGCAACGCTGGAGTGTAACAATGAGAGACAGAGAAAAAAAGTGCATAAACTGATGGACTTAAGATGTAACTTGATGAGTGGTGATTGCAAGGGCTAAGTGAATGATGGAAGTAAACCAATTTCATGGGGTGGTTTGAGTGGGGTTTCATGTATTATAAAGGCACCAAGATTCTAGGTCAAGATTTTCAAAGGAATAGGGAGGTGCTTTCTGATAACCAGGCTCCTCTGTAATGTCTCAAGTTGGACACCTACAAATGAGGTACCAAAAACCACTAGTTATTTAAAAAATATTTGGCCTTTTAAAAATCTTGGCCTTACTTTTTATGTCTTGCTGAAATGATTTATACTCACTTTATTTTCCAGCTGACTGCTGGGTTGTAAACCAATCACTATGCAACCAAGAAAAGGTTGACAAAACCTTTGAAAACACTACCATTTCAATAATAAAGCAGAGCTAAAATCTCAAAGACATCTCTGTCCTAATAACATCAGCACTGAAAAGGGCAGTTTCAGGTTACAAAAACAACTACAAGTTGCCAGCTGGAACGTCTAAATTCTGGATCAAACGGGAAATGCATCCTGAAACATAGTAAGTAATTCAGGATTTGCATTATACTAAGACTAACATAACAGGCCTTTCTGAGTGTTGATCGTCAATTGTCCAGACGCCCTTCAAAGCCCCTAGTACAGACATTATGGTGTGTAAATAAGAAAGGAATGGCTTTTATTCTGAATTAGGGTGTGTTTTAATCACTGTTGCAAACCAGACTAACCAATGCCAGGTTGCTTTCAATCTGCCTCAAAGGAGCCCTCACCTTGCACCAGCAGTAGCCAAGGTTGAGGAAATTGAAGAGGTCTGCAGCCGACTGTGAAAACCATTTATACTGTGCCAAAACCACAACGTGCTGCTTAGCATAGAGAATTTCAGAGCTAAATACAGAGGAAAAGTTGTTGAAGAGAATGTTTTGAGGGGAAGTGGATTGGAAAAGATCACAGGAGAAAAACCAGCAATTCATTGAGTTTTGCTTTGAGGATAAGTATGACCTTGTAAACGCTGCAAGAAATAATGCATTTGGATCTTTTCACATCAGCTCTGCAGTGGAAAATCATTTATATGATTGAACAGAAGAGATGCAAACCAACACTGCTAACCGTAAAACTCTAACAGGTGCCATCTGTACTAGAAATGAACTGCAGAATCCCCCCACTCACTATAAAGTCAGTTAATGTGCAGCTTTGTTGTCTTTTGCAGTGGTGCCAAAATTTCTCACCAGAAATGCGTATATTCATTTGCAGAAAAAAGCAGTCTGGAATGTCAAAAGCTACTTTTTATAATCACAAACAGGCTTTTCAGACAAACCCAGATGTGACAGCAGTTACTAGTAACATATACTTTACACGTGCTCCAGGATTAATCCTACTTTTTTAGTAACTAGGGTATGTCTAGACTGTACCCCTTTGCGGGCAGAGGGATGCAGATTAGACAGGTTGAAATTGCTAATGAAGTGGGGATTTAAATATCCCGCGCTTCATTAGCATAAAAATGGCCGCCACATTTTATTGGCGCGCTGCTTTTTTTTGGCACGGAGCTTTGTCGGAGAAAAGCGGCAGTCTAGAGGCTGATCTTTCACTAAAGAAAGCCTTTTCTGATAGATCCCTTATGCCTTGTAAAACAAGGTATACAGTATCTATCGGAAAAGGCTTTCTTTAGCGAAAGATCAGCCTCTAGACTGCCGCTTTTCTCCGACAAAGCTCCGTGCCAAAAAAAAGCAGCGGCCATTTTATGCTAATGAAGCACGGGATATTTAAATCCCCACTTCATTAGCAATTTCAACCTGCCTAATCTGCATCCCTCTGCCGGCAGAGGGGTGCAGTCAAGACATACCCTACGAGTCCAACACACATGTGGGTGAGAAGCAACCCATGTCTCATTCTAGTAGTCTGCCCCAGTATACTCTCTAGAAAAGGAAGGTAAATTAGGAAGACACCAAAGTGCAGTAGCTAGAAAGGAAAACTTAGTGATATGTAACTGCAGTGCATAAGCAGGATAACATGTAACATTAGACACAATTGAAAGATTCTTAGGCATATATATATATATCTTAATAGAGTTGGTTAATGGCTTCAGGCCATTAAGTAAAAATAATAGAAAAAAATAGGTAAGCACAAAAAATACACTGCTATCCTCTATAGAAAAGTCAGCTTAGTAGTTGTATTGGTATATCAGTGATGTGTGTGAGGGGTTTTTTTGTTTTGTTTTTTATTTTGGTTTTTTTGGTCAAAGAAAAAAAGTGTTACTATCTTTAACATCCCTGCAGTTATCTCAGTGCAGGTATGTTATTCATCATCATCAACAACAACCATGGGCACAACACCTGTTGGTGTTCAGTGCTTCCCTCACTATTTCCTTCCATCTTTCCCTGTCCAGCACGGAGTGGCTTAATTTCTGTGGACTAGCTCCACACCAATCTACTATATCATCTACCCATTTTCGTTGGTGACCTTCTGCATCCATCCTATTCTCAGGATCTTTCTATAACAGCTCCTCTCGAACGCCAATATCCTTCTCTTCGAATCTTTTGTTATCAGCCATGTCACACATCTGTACAACATGCTGCTAAATACACACGTTTTCAAGATGCGCAGCTTCATTCCTAAGCTAATCGCTTTACTTTTCCAGATCTTATCCGTCACCTTCAAAGTCACTCTTGCTTTCACTATTCTAGTCACTATTTCCTTCTTACTGTCTTGATCATATGTCATGTTGCTCCCCAGATACGTGAACTTCTCTACGTTCTCTAGTTCGATCCCATCTACGCTGATCTCCCTTCCTATTTCCTTATCTCCAAACACCATTGTCTTAATTTCGTCGAATAGTATACTTTATTCCCAAGGAATGAATGTGTTGTTTGAATTGCCTTCATATTTTTAAATTAAAGTTGGCAATTCTTCTTAATTCCTAAATAAAAATATTACAAAAGTGGAACGTATAGATATCTATAGATACCAACTAAATTTGTTATTTCCTGACAGAAATAATTTCCTTGCATTCCCTGAAGGAGGCTTCAATGGCCCTCCAGAAATACTAACATTCATGCCTGCAGCGAAAATATTCCCTACGATAGCAGCAGAAATTTTCCAGACAGCATTAATGGACAAAGATTGAGCTTTTCACTTCAACATAGGCTGAATCTTATTGCAAATCTCATCTACCCAAGTCCCACATTTAAATCAGGCAAAGAGTTTTCACCACATCCTACCAAGTAAAAGTGAACTATGCAAATATAGGCTCCTTACTCAAAAA